ATGTAAAAAAAAAAACGAAATGGGTTTTTGTGTGCGGTAGCCGACTTTTCTAGATATTTCTGTCTTCCTTTGAATTAAAATCCTCAAAGCCACTAGGATTATTGATCTTTAAAATAAGTTGTTAATAGTTTTTATCATAGTTCCTTGGCTACTATCCCGGCGTTTTGTCGCTTCAAAGACGCCTTCGTCTTCAGTCAGCTTCCACTTTGGCGGCCCTTTTCATTTTCTATATAAAACCAATATTCGGTTTATTTTCGTCCATTAAGGAATTCCGTATCATTTATTTGCCTCTTTTCTTCTATATTCCAAAAGCTTTCCAAAGAATTGCGAAAGCCACTTTTGTTCAACGGCACAAAAACTTGATATTCTCATATCCATTACCACTTGAGCTTTCCGTTTGGTATTTTCTCTTGGATTTATTATTCAATAATATATGTATTGATCCCGTTATGACAAATACCCTTAGTTACCAGTTGAACACATCGGTAACTAGGGAACATCTTTACGAATTTAGTATTTATTTTGACTGACTTTTTTTAAATTTCTTACAGGGCTGGAATATTTTTTGAAAACCCTACCGAAACGAAATTTTATTGAATCTCGAATGCTATATTTGTCATGAGTGCTTTACGGTTTTCCGCTTATGTTTGTTAACTTAATTTTTAGCAATTCCAGTTAAAATTTAGATTTTTCTTTATTCTCTGATATTATTTTCTCATCTTAAAATTGACAGATATTCGTACCATTTCATAAAAACTCGGTAGACTTACAGAGTCATTTATAAACCAAGACAGTCATTACAAAATGAATTTTTGATTATGATTTCAAGATCTTGACTTATTTTGGCGCGATATGATTTGAACTTTTCAACTCAAAACAATGATTCATTTTGCGACTAAATTTCTTTAATCACAAAAAATATTTATGCCCATATTAATGCTAAGATAGTACTATGATAAACTATTCTTGAAAATGAAGATAATATTAATGATAATAATACTGACGATGATAATAATGAGAAAAGCAGTAAAAACAATTCCAAGGTGCTTGGAATCCATGAAAACGTCATATCATATCTTTTTTCCAAGTTTTCTATCACTAAGGATCTTGGAAAAAATATATATCAGGAAGGATATGTGAAATAATTTCTGGTGTAATTTTTTTTTAATTTCCCGGCATAAATTCATTAAAAAAAACAAATGAAGGTTCACAGATTCACGTCGCTTTGTGCCGAGCAAGTAAGCTTAAGCCTGGTGGCAACCATCTAGGTTCTTAACCAGCTTACGTTAAACATTTTCATTCCTTATTTTTATTGTTGAGAATTTTCCCAACTAAGACCTATTCTGTGAATTCCCTAACTCTTCAGAATGCTTCAGTCCTGCAAACCATCCACTACTAACCACCTTAGGGGAATATTTTTCAAGTGCTATAGTCTTGTTTTAATATGTCACAGCTTCAAGAATTGATTTACACGAGCACTTGTATGGATTTTCTATCAATGAGTACATGTTTTCAAAAGTTTTAATATAGCGGCATGGTGGCTACCGGTACACTAGTGCTAATGAATTTTACGGGTTTTTTTAATCAAACTAGTCATCACTTTATTTCTTTATTTACTCGTTTTATTTATTTTATTTGTTATTTGCGGGAACATATCTATGGCTACGGTGATTGTGTACTCGCCTTAATCAGTATAGAATTTTAGCGTGTTAAGTTAGAGTACGTTTTTCAAGATGATATGCTTAGAGCTGTGGGTCAGTCAAAACTGACAAAGCTACAAGAATAATTTGAATTAATTACCCAATATTTTTTAATCCTGAACGAGCTGTTTTATTCCACTGAGTTCAAGTCCTATTTTATTAGTTGGTACTATATTATAGTTTCATGAACAATCTCCCCTTTAATCCCATGATAATAACAGTTTAAATTCCCTGCTTTGAGTTGGAAAACAAAAGATGTCGGAAATCTTTATTCTCCGAAGATGAAAAAAGATAGAGCTTTACCCCAAGTGATAATGAAAAAAAAGAATAAATAACCAATTTCACTTCGATATGCTAAAAATTGGGTCGTCTTTATTAACTCTGTCACCTGAGCTACCAAAGCGGCAGAAAAAATCGCGGTCTTAATGTCAAAAACATCTAAATTATAACAATGGCTTTTTTAATGAATTTCCAGTATTTTAATTTCTTATTTTGCTAGTTGTTCGTTTAAAAAATTTTTTTTTCTACCTCGGTTTCTGGCTGTTTTACGTGACAATGATGGACGTCAAAAAGTAATTTTAAAATCACCGCGATGCGGTTAGGACTTCTAGACATGACAAATTTGTAACATTACTGCCAAAAGGCACTCAATATGTACATATTCTGACATTAAAACCCTTTCGGCTGTTAGTTGATGCAAGTCCCCATATAAATATAACAATAAATTATTTTAACTTTATGTGTTTTAACCGAATTTTCTAGGTGATTTTTTTCCTAAATACGAAACTGTTTTGCATTAAAAATGATAAATAAATGATTTATACTTTTGTTTCCTAGCGGTACTCGCCGAAATCTCCCAACAAATGATTCCCATTGGAGATTAAAACAAAACTATATTAATGAACTGCATTCTTGCCGTGTCATTGCATTAATTATCTCAATTTCCCATTCCTTTTACATTTTTCATCTATTTTTAACCGTTTTATTTTTTATTGATATTTTCTCGTCTTTAACGAATCTTTCATTTAGAATCATCTTAATCGTCAATTCTTCTTACCATAAAATTCAAAATGACTGGATTGGATTTTCTTCAAACAGACTACTAGTTCACTTGTAATAGCCAGGCTGCCGTCTTACGTTGAGCAACCCCTGTGGGCTATGTACACCTGGTTTCAGATTTAAGGCCAAGAGTTTGGGTTACCACATTGGTAGATTTTTAATGAGCCCAAAGCAATGCATATACATTCAGTGCGTTTGAACGACATCATGTCAGAATGTGACTTATCACAAGCAGAATCATTTCCCAACAAAAATTGAATGCTATTCAGTTTGTGTTTTCGAATAAAATACCAGTTCAATGTAAATCTGCGACTGAAAAAGGCGACTTTTTGCTTCCATATTTACTTATAATTCTAACTGTCTGATGTAAGCGTAGTTAATTATGTTATTTCTCCAAATTGAAGACATGCGCTTTGAGATTTTTTTTTTTTTTTTTTTTTTTTTTTTTT